ATTTTTACAAAAATATTTTCAAAATTACTTATTAAAAATATTTTTAAATAATTTCCTTTTCAAAGTTATTTCATATAAATACCTAATTTATCACATTTAATACAAAATTTTTGCAAAATTTTATTAAGCTAACATATTTTATATTATTAAAAAATCTTATTTACAATATTTTAAAGAATATATTTACAAATTTTATAAGTTTTGAACACTTTATTATTAAAATATAGATGAAATAAATAAATTATATTTATAATAATAATTAAAAAATAAAATCAAATTATTAATAAAATATAATAAAAATTAAAATTTTTTATATTAAACTTTATAATTTTATTAATAAAGATTTTTTATTTTATATTAAAATTTATAATAATACTTTTTTAAATATTTAAATTTTTTTATAAGAATTATTCTAATTATAAATTTAATTTCTAATTAAATAAAATTTTATTAGTAAAAATTCTTATAATAACTTTATAATTAAAATAATTCTCCTAGAAAAAATTAAAAAATCAAAAAAATATATTATAAACTTTAATTTAATATAAAATATAAAATATTAATAAAAATTATAAAGTTTAATATAAAAAAAATGTTTAATTTTTATTATATTTTATTAATAAATTTAATTCTCTAATTTATCTTTAATTATTATATTAAAATATTATATATTAAAAATTAAAAATAAATCAAATTTTATAATATTTTTTATATATTAAAAAGTTAAAAAATAAATTTTTATAATTTTAAAAATTAATAAAGTTTAATATTAATATTAATAAAATATATATATGATAATTAAGAATAAAATTTGATTTATATTTATAATAATATTAATAAAATATAATATTAAATTAATATATATAAAAGAATTTTTATAAGAAAAAATTTATTTTATAATTAATATTATTAATAAAATTCATATTAAATTATAATAATAATTTAATATTAATTTAATCAAATTAAAACTTTAAAATATAAGAAAATATCAAAATAAAATATTAAAAAGAATATAATTTATTAATAATAATAATAAAATTTTTAATTATTAAAAGTAATAATATTAATACAAGAATTTAGATATAATTATAATTATTAAATAAGAATAATTTATATATAATAAATAATAAATCAAAAGATTAATCAAGTTAAATATTATTTTAATAAATTATAAAATATATTACATAATAATATTAAAAAATAAAATTACATATAAAATAAAAGTTTTAATTAATTTAAAACTTTTTCTTTTAAATAACTTTGAAGTTTAAGCTTGATTTAACATTATTAAATTTAAAAAAATTTTAATTATTAATTAATTTAATTATTAAATAATCAAAATTAAATTTTTTTAAATAATTTAAATAAAATCTAAAAAAAAGATCAAGTAATCTTATTATAATAATATTAATCTCTAAATTATAAGTTTTTTTTTTTACTTAAATTATCTATAAAAGGTTTGAACTAATAATTGATGAGAAATTTTAAATATATTATAAACACCAAAAAACGATTCTTTGAATTTCTAGCCAATCTTTTTTTCAACATGCTAATAATCATATCTGCAAAAGAACATGATTATCTTCTGATTTTAGCGAATTGCATTTTTTTTTTACTAAATTTTATTACCTTTAATATAATATAATATATAGTAATTGAACAATAGTATGTATCGAACAATATAATTTATATTGATATTACATCCGAATTTAATAGAAATATTTCAGCCTTTATTGTCCTTATCGAACTAGAATTGCAACAGTTTTCGAAAAATTTGAGTGAAAAAATGTATGATCAAGTCTTTGTAAAGCACTGCAAGAAAAGAATAAGTTCAAATAATTTGGTGAACTTTAAAATGGAGCAAACTATACAAGTTGTTTTTTCAACAGTTTATATCGAGTTTCACCTCGCTAATATAAAATTTTTGGGGCAAGTTTTGGATTTCATTCGTGTTCAAAATGCAAGTATAATCATGCTGTATATTTTGCCTATTTAATGTTGGCCGCATTCTATAAGTATTTATATAATGTCGCGTTACATGCATCATAAACAATTCTTAAAGAATAATGACTATGTTTTTGAATTGAATATGCTATAGTAATTAGTAGTGTTTTAAATTAGATATCAACTAAATAATAAAATAATAATATATATGAAATACATAATGACAAACTAAAAGATGGGCGTTACAAAAAAGTAATCGTCGATAGTATTAGATTCTCTATCTATAATCGTCGTGTTTCAGAATTTAATTAATAATAAAATTATTTTCGACAGGATATTAAGGATAATAATAGAAATGAAATAATGATAAAAATCAAGGAATGACATAATACAACATCGAGGGAATGGGAAATTTCACTCACCATCCCTTTTGTAATAATCTATAATTTTTAATAACACAAAGCCGTTTATTCTACAGACAAAATTAAAAAATAAAGATTTGGGTTTCAAAAAATTATATATTATAAAAATAAGAATAAGCTAAGCAATCAAAAATAAATTAATAATTCATGCAATAACAATAATAATCTAATTGAATTCTATTTTTCTATTTTATTTTTAATTATATATTCCATTATTGAAATAGGTATTAGTTCTCTAATAATAAAAATAATAATAATATTATAATAATAATATAATAATAATAATATAATAATAATAATAATATAATAATAATAATATCAATAATATCAATAATATCAATAATATCAAAAACAATAATGATGATTTGTGATGATGAAAATGATGAAGATGATGATGATGATAAAAAATGATGATAATAATACAGTTAAGTGGCTGGAACACAAGAAAATTTCATTTAAAAAATCCGTTATACCAAAATTACTAGTTAGGTTATGACGGGTTTTTTATGCTTTCATATGTGAGGCAAAAAACTTTAAAAATCCGTTATAAAGTGGATTTAATTATAATTCGTTATAACGAACGGAAGTCTGAACTAATATGATGATATATCTACCTTCTTTGTTCTTAAACGCCATCACTACTTTTAGGTTCGTTTTGATTAGAGATACTAGCAGTTGTTGATGCTCCGATTGCAGAAGTTTCGCTGCTATTTGCGGTATTAGTCGGATTATAACTATTAGTCCAATTATTTGGTTTTTCAACAGATGGGCGATAAGGTTCGCTTTGGTTGCTACGATTGATATTGTTATTGTTGTTGTTGTTGCCGCTATTGTATCCGTTTGGCATGAATTGATACACATGATTATTTGGTCGTTTATTTGCTGGATATTGATATTGTGGGCGTGGTTGCTGAGCTTGTAACGGCTGCTGCTGCTGCTGCTGCTGTTGCTGTTGACCATTTTCTATTAATGTGATTATGAACGAGGCATTAATGATAATTATGATGAAAAGCATAGATGTATTGATAAAAAAATAAAATTAATATACCCCGTGGTTTTCCTTTTTCGACGCGAAGACTTCCAGGCACACCATAATTCTGTAATAACTTTAAAGAAAAAAATAATTTTATTAATATTAATGAATGGTCAAGAATAATTAATTAATCAATCACAAATATTTTTAAATTCATTACCAATCCGTGCTTTTCCAATGCGCGATTTAATGCATCGTTATTTTGAAAATCGATATGAGCAAACGATTTAGTTTGCGATTGACGAATCTCTCGAACCTACATATGATCAATGAAAATTAGGATTCAATTGGCAATTAACGTATTGATTAATAATTAATAAGTGCAACACTTGCATCTTCTTGTGGAAATATCTCGCGTAAGGCTTGTGGCTGCATTGTACCTTGCCATGATACAAAAGCGGTAAATTGTCCCTTTACAAAAGGAAAAAACATTAGGTTTTTTTTAGATAGAGGAAAATACAAAAATAATTAAAGCCTACTCTTCGTTTCATATTGTTGTTATTGTTGGTGTTATAGTTGTTATTGTTATTATTACTATTTTTATTGTTATTGTTAGTATTGTTATTGAAACGTCGATTGCTCGTTGTTGATGCGGTGGTTCCAGTCGTCGGTGTAATTGCCGTGGAAGTAGAAGTATTTGATCTTATTTCATCAATACTAATAGGACTGCCACCACTGTTGCTGTAATTCTGTTGATCTCTTGAGCTTTCTTCGGGTGTTTCCTGTGGCGATTCTTCATTTTGTGACTGATGTGATTAATATGCACATATTAAAGACATTATTAATATTGAGGGTTTAATAATCATTAAAATTCATGTCATTTATTTACCTGAAATACAGTAATTGATGCCGCGGTATAGCCATTTTCAATAGAATTAACTGCACCAGTAGAATTCTCATCATTGGATCGTTCTGGAATGGAAGGTTGCGCGGTGTGAGCTGATGTTACTATAGCTATAGGAATCAAATCACATTAAATATACAAATCAAATTCAGTTAAATAAACACGTGCTTATTCGTTACCTTGAACTGATGAGTTCTTTTGCCATGATGGTAGTCGATTAGCAGTATACTATAAATTGGTAGTGTAAAATTATGCAAAATAAAAAATTAGACAATTAATAGCATATGAAATTCATCTCATTATTTAACAGTAATTGATGATACTCACCTCCCCAACCCCACCTCCCAGAAAACTTTCAATCGCTTTATCAATTGATCTTCTGAAATCGGCTTCTCTTGACCGAAAATCGTTTACAGGAGATGCGAATTTGTTTGTCGAGATCATCCTCATTTTTTCTTGTTCAAGTCTATCAATACGTTCTTGTAACCTTTTGATCGTGGTTTCTTTCTCCTTTTGTTGTTATAAGTATCCGAGAAATCAAAAAGCATTTGTTATTCTTAGATAAGAGACATCTATCTATCTATCTATCTATACACATATAAAGTTTTTTTTTACAAACATTGATTTGATTCTGAAGGTTCGTAACAAATCTCTGCATGTCACCTATAGGGTCGGGATACTGTAAAATTTCAAGAATAAACTTTATTATTACATGATTATTGTCATTTTTGGAACCATCAAACACACAAAAAAAAGGAAAAATCGTAAATGCACACGCATAATAAAAAGAACAAAGAAATACACATACAGGTTTACTAGGACCAGGATTGAACGAGCTATTATTACTCCTGTTACTTGGTAACCCGTTTATTTCTGTAGGGAGTCCAAAATTCATGTTCTTTTATATTCAACTTTACAAATAGCCCTTGATAGAACACACTCGCTTTCGCTCACCAAGGTGAAAAAAAATTTAGGGTTTAAATAAACGACGACACGTAACAGAAAAAGGTTATAAGCAAACAAATAAAAAACTATTTATTCTGCGAAATCGAAAATACTAAAAATACACAAAAATAAGGCGTATATATTATAAGAATATTATTCTAACACTATTCTATCTATTATTATTATTACTATTATTATTATTATTATTAGATATGTGTGTGTGTGTATATATATGTATGTGTGCGTGTGTGTGCGTGTTCAAGAAGCGTAAAGAACGAGTGCAAGAAAATTATTTGGTGAAAAATACAAGAAATGGTGAGAGATATGGTGGGTAAAAAAGATAAAATTTGTTGAAAGACAGACAAATGACTGGATTGGTATTATGTTGTTATTTATGAACACACATACAGTGAATATATTGCTCTTTTTATACTTGTATTACGCAACTTATTTATGTGTATATATGCATATATATACATATACATATATATACATATATATGCTAATAATAGTAGGTTTTATTTCAATCACCAATTTAAATTGCACATTATATAATATCTATAAGTACATATAAATAATAGTAGAACTTTTGTTTTTCATCTTTTGATGACGTCAAAGTGCATTTACAAAGTATATGTGTGTATGGGTAAATAAACTTGAATAATTTCTTGTTTATCAGAACACTTGATTTTAGCATTGATGAACTTTTCGTTTTGCAGTATGAACAAAAGATCCATTAAATATCGAGCACATTTTTTCTTACGAGTATGCATTATATAATTAAATAATATTGAGAATTAAACTAAAAGCAAGTTGGAAATAATTACGATTTCTCATGAGTTATAGGTGGTCGACATCGTTTACTATTGTGTTACATAATAATAATCATCTTACTCATAGCATGCACAGCATTCATAGCATTTAGGCCACGAAAAGATGTGTTATTTTTCTGCACATCGTCCTTTACTTTCTAGGCTCAGATCTTGGGGGGAATTGTTGATTGATGATTATGAATGAATGATGTTGTCTTTAGTGTATGTATGCATGTATTATTTGTCCCTCACTGTCGAAAATGTACTTTTTCATTCATATTTTTTCCTGAAGTTTTTCATTGATATTATCTTTTCGATTATTTCGAAATCGAACATTGACCATTTAATTTTTGATTTTCCCCATTGTTGATTGTGTGCGAGTATGAGTATTGCGTATTGATCGGTTTTGAATGTATGTACATTTAAAAAGCTCAAGTCGCGATTTTTAAAGATTGCAGGCCAAATGAAGATGAATCTTATATTGGTTATTTAGCAAGTGACATACATGCATGCATAGATGGATAAATACATACATACATACATTCGTTCATTCATTCATTCATTCATCCATTCATTCTTTTTTTTCTTTCTCTTGTAAACAAACATTTTTATCCAAATCAAAAAAAAGATATTCACAACACGAAGATAATGATGTCGTCTAAAAAGTTTATGTTAAAACGCAAACGCTATTGAAATTAAATTTATTTGAATAACAATTGGCTCCCTGCATATACATGCCATGCAAATTATCCAATGTAATGCAATAAACTGGAAAATGGGATGCATGCTTATATATCATATTTTTTTAGTAGGTGGCTTCTTTAAAAATTCGTTTCGCTGATTAAGTCATTCATCTTTTTTTTTGGTTGCTGAAAAATCTTTGTTTGCTCTAGATCTTTTCTCTTGCGTGGATGTTTGATACGCGATAAATTTAAATTTAAATCAAGTCTCTGCTCTTGTTCACTTTCTATACTTTAATCGGATCATTTCAAGAGAAAAAATGATTAGTAAATCAAAGCACAATTCAGAAACAAAAAAAAATAATAAGAAACGCACAAGATCGTATGATTCGCACTGTACATCTTTGCACCTCTGATTGAACATTATTTGTCATTTTTTTATTTGTTACAAAAAGGGGAGGGGGGGGGAGGGTTAGGGTTAGGAACTTGTTTGTTTATCCAGTGTGCCTGATAGGTCGCGTGCACATATGATTTGCTTCTGACATCTAAGCAATAGCCCATAATTATCATTTATGAAGAACCGGCAATACAATTCCGATTTAAAACATCATTAGTTAGATATCATTCAAAATTGTAAAAACAACAATAAGACTCTTTTAAGTTATCCGCGTCATTTACAACGAAACCTCGGACTTGAAAATAGATTAATTAACTTGTCACATAATAAAGGTTAGTTAAATTGTGTTTGTTTGCACTCTCTTGTGAATTATGCATGCAAAGTAATGATGATAATTATCGGGTCTTTTTATGTATTTTTATAGTATAGCTAGCTGTATGAGATGATAAACAAACATGCTATGATCATACACCTGGAAATTCATCATCATCATCCTTATTTCAATACTAAAACTAGTAAAAAACTAAGTAATAATAATTCCCTTACCTATCAAACATCACCATATTACACGAGTTCTCTTTTTACGTGTGAGGGTCCACACATGAGAGAAATGGTTAGCGCGAGATTTAAAAATTTTTCATAATTACCGCATAGGAAGAGTAAGCTATTTTTACGGGTTAGCGTAAAGGTTACCTTGTTTTTTTATTTGTTCGATAAATTAAAAAAAGAAAATCACTAAAAACCTGATGATGCGCAGATGATCAGGGATTTAAGGTCTAATTTTATTAAGGCTAGTCAGGATGTTAATCACAAGACCCAATAACGGTAAACAATGAATGTAATCAATTCTGAAATACACGCAAAAAAACAATGTATAACAACACACATATCGAAACCAATAACCACAGACTGATCGCAACCTCCTACATGTTTGTATTCGGGATCATCAATGATAATGAAAAAAGAACAATAGCATCGCTCATTCTATTTTGTTTGTTTGGTACTCTATTTGTTTTTTTACTCTCTCACAATCAGAAAAAAATCTGTCAAAAAAACCGAAACGATTTAAGTTTGCACGAATTAAAATTGGGCATTTATTCATTCATCCTATCCATTTTATCTATTCATTATCATCGATGTCATTTGTCTTTAATTAATTAATAACTGAGTTGCAATACCACGTGCGTGTACAATCAGTCATTATGAGAAGCAGGAGTTTCGCATTCAAATAGAAAATTTTCACCAGCCAACTAATGATCAATGACCCTATTCAGTAAAATAATATGTAAATGCTGATGAAATAATCAATGATCCTGGAAATGTAGAATGACGAACATAATTGAGAACGAATCGACAAGACAAACATTTCCTTGTTCTCCAATGGTGATTTAAAAAAAAACCAACTTTTTTCTCAATTAGTATCATTATTTTTTTTTAAATGATTTTTATTACCGTAAACAAAATCGATTCTTTCTCGCCACTTTCTCAATGAACTGCACTTCTTAAATCATTGATGATTTAACCACTTGATGTAAAATCATTTATACATTCACCCACCTACGGAGGAAACCAATCATTTACAATCATCAATCTAAGCCATTCCGCTTTTTTATTTATTTGAAGAACGGAAAATTTCTGCGTAGTCGCTCGAACACAACAGATAAATAGCGACGGTGGGCGGACAGACAGACGGTAAACAATTAATTTGATACACAAATAATGTAAGATGAATATTGCGGGGTTTGTGTTCCTGTTTGTTTCTCTGTCTTTGCTTCCTGTCAGTTGGTGCCACGCATCATTGTGTGATTTATTAATGTTATCGGAAAATCCGCACTAATCCCTGTTTGTCTTGAAAATTGAAGATTATTTTTCAAATGTTATGTTATCGAAATCATCAATATTTTATTATCAATCTAAAAGATGAATAATGATAATTATTAATTATTTTCTGTTGTGCTTTTGAGCTTGATTATCTTTCATTGGAATTTCTAGCTTGAAAAAGATTTAGCTCTTTTATACTTGAGCACTGAGAAATTTTCTTATGCATTAGATCTTTTTATTCTAAACTGGTTAATATTAGCGTGAGAATATTTTGAAATGCGCTAAATTTGCGATAGTATTTTTAATTTGCGGTCATGCTTTGTTATATCAAGGTCGATTGTATGCTAATTCTCCAATAGAATTTTAACTGATTCTTGAATTCATTAAAATTAATCGACTTGATGTTAAATCATTTATGATTCTCCTGGAAAAAATCGTAATTTTTCTAATTTAACTTAACATATTCAATCAAATTTAATTTACAACAGATTCATTATATCTGTGGAAAAACTATAAATTTAATATTTTTTATTTTTCTCCTTGAATTTGTGCTGATAATTATCTTATAAAATTCACAAAACTTGCGCATTTTATCTCGAGTTTTGACTGGTATTTCTCATATTGTGAAAATTTTTATCAATTAACTATTAAACAAAAGAAACACACCAGATATTAAAATTTATTAATAAACATAGTAAATATAAAAGTTTCTCTCTATATTAAAAGTATTAATAAATAATAAAACAATAATCTATAGATTATGTTTTTTCTAATTAAATATAAGTAAAAGTTTTATATTTTATATGCAATTAGAATAATGCTTTCTGAAAAATCTGTTAAATTATACATAGTGACTCTTATAATGTAGGTCAAAAATTTATCATTTTCTATGTAATAAAGAGATATTCACAAAAAGAAATCTCTCTTTATAGTGTATTTATTATTAAATTGCTTCTAAACTATAATGAATGGCATATATTTAATAAAATTATGAATAAATCAATTTAATTGTGACAAGCATATCAACAATAATCAAGAAATAATTGATTATTTTATTTATTTTTAAATGATAAACCGAAAATCAATAGTAATATTAAAAATATTATTGCTATTATAAAATATATATATATATATATATGAATCCTTCACTTTAATAAATATTATGAATTACATAATATTTGTTGTGCAATTCATAATAAATCTATATTATAGGAAGCATTTAGTAATATAATTAATTAACCAAATTCTCCACTCTAAGTTTTCAATATAAATATATTATAAAGAGCTAGTTTGATTAGAAGGAAAAAATTACAAATAAGCCAAATCCATTATAACAGGGATACATTATAAAAAGAGTCACTGTGTAGATTATTGATTTTATTTTGATATAATATTGATAAAATTGAAAACTTTAATTAGCAAGTTTCATATTTTATTAATGAAGTTTTATCTCACTGTATACTAATTTTCTTAATTGACCATATGCTAAGTTTTTAAAGCATAGAACGATTTTGAAACTGTTTAATTTAGTCATAATATTGAATTTTACCCATACGTTTCTTCTCTTCAATTTCTCATTTCTAAATTATAAAATCTTGAATTAACGTTACAGTTTGTTTCAAATTTATGGGTTTTGTGAACTATTTTCATTTTTTAAAATTCATTAAATATGGATTTATAGCAGTTTCCTCTTGTATACGTTTCATGTTTTGTTTGATATACAGTTTGTAGAAAGATTTCGGCACAGTTAGGATTAAATCTGCTGTTCTACGATCTTGCATAACACTTTAAATTAGGACCATTGTAATTTTCATACAGAAAATGACATAATGTTCGAGTTTTGATATTGGATGAAAAAATATCTTAAATTTGATCTGACAGTTTGAGATCGAGATAACCATATCAAAGATGAGAAAACAATAAGCGTAATTTGTCTTATTTCCCAAAAGAAGTCTATTAAAAAGTATTGCACATTTACATATTTACTTCTGAAATATTAGTCAATAATCTATTAGATCGTAACGTATCATGTTGTAAATCGTTGTTTTGCTAAAGCCGTAATTGAACTGTAGTGTTAGAGTACGAAAAATAATTTATTCGTGAAGTTCTTTTTATTCGATCCTACTGTCCTTAATGTTGCCGTAAAGATAAATTTCAATAACTGGAAAAATTAAGAACCTCAATTTTTACGGAAAAAACCTATACATTCGTTCTGGGATGCGATTTTCTTCATTCACATGAAACGAGCAAAGATTGTTAATAGTACAGTCAACATTGAATAAAATTTGTTACGAGTTCATTCTATAAAATATAGTAAAAATTTTGATATAAAGAAATTGTTTATTGACGAACTGTCAGTTCGTTATATCTTCATTGGTATGTGTATTCTTTTTCCGAATCGCGGCTCTATTTTTAAGAGAAATCATATGTGACATGTGACTCATATAGCAAAATAAAATAGCACATAGACTTTGACCCTTTGAAACACATGCAATCAAATATAGATTTTACGATTAGGTATAGTTGTATTGATTTTGCACGAGGTGTAAGAGGCGAACTCCTTTACTATTTAAAAAATGTTCTAGCACCATTTTGGCTCAAATAACTTTTGTTTTCAAATTAAGTTTATATTTTGTAAAAAAAAAAAAATAGAATATGACAGAATTTCAAATTGATCAATCAAGTCCAGCCCATTTAAAAGAAATATATACAGCTTTGTTTTGTTTCTCATCCCATGAACATAACAACTGAGATTTCTTTGTTATAGTTCCTATTCTTCCAAATGTAATGATATCCAGGGCTGAAACTGGTCTATTAATATCAACAATTGTTGCTATTATCTGACTATGATATCGAAGTGGGTCACCTGTTAAACCAAACAAGATATTAATTAATTGTTTTAATAAATTGTAACTACAAAAAAGAGAAAACAAAAAAAATAGTCTCAATCACCAGAATACAAAAGAAAATCACCACCGAATTTAATTCCATTTGTGATGAAGTAACCACGTTTCCAAAGATCAGAAAAAACCTTAAACCGATGATGATCTTTTTTAGTGCTTGGCCAACACCATATTTTTGCTGCGGCAGCTTGTTTAATAGTTGTGAAACTGTAATCCTCGTTGTACCAAGCAAATGAATTGGACGTGGTAGGGAGATGGACAATCGGCGAAAATTTTGTGGTTAGGAATTTCTGATTGATGTCTGTATCGGTGATGTCAGGATTGTCGGTCGATGACGATGTTGCATGTGATTCTATTTTAATACCTATTTCTTTTCTATACATTGCGCTTTTTTCATTTCGTATTTGCAAATATTCATTTTCTTGACGTTGTTCATCTTCAATACGCAGTCGATTAAATTGATCAAGTTGGCCTTTTGTGGGCATTGTATGAGTTTTTCGTGCGTCTATTAGAATAATTATACCTAAATTTCTGCTTATTTTAGTAATTATCGTTTTAAAGGTAAAATTTGATGAGATAATTTTTTTGACCTCTGGATAATAGTAATGTAACTTCCTCAGGTATAAGTGTCAATGGAAGCCCAAAATACAGATTTTGCATAGGTAATCGTGGCAATGTACCAATTAGTGAACCCACGACTCTGTATGCGACGCGTAATTTATGGACAACTATTTTGAATTTTTTGAGGATCTGAAATTAGCATTCTTTTAAATTACTATTAGAGAATCTACAGACCATCGGGATCCCATACGAATGCTTTATCGTCAAGGACGTATACTTTAAAGGGTGGGCTTATAGCAATGTTGGCCATTGATTTGTATATGGGACATTATCTGATGACTTATTTGTTGCATTTAATCACGTGAGCTAATAAAAATACGATCTCGGAGTTTTGATAAAAAATCCAGACTTTATGAACCGAACACATGACAACTAAAACAGATCCAGTTAAAGAAATTGTAAGAATACAGTACTCTATAAGAACTGAGAACCATTAAGTGTATATTAAAAATCACAGTACTCTATAAGAACTGAGAACCATTAAGTGTATATTAAAAATCACCTCTTTATAAATACAAACTCTATAAAAACTAGATTTTCTAGTTATAACGAAAAAAAGTGTCGTGTGATGCCGACCCGACATTCTTTTCACTCTTGACATTAAAGATATCATAAAAATGAAAGTTGCACTTCATAAAAATTTTAATGCTGACAGAACAGGCGTACAGGAATGTAAGGATGTTCTTAAAAACTTCAAATCTTCCATCTCCAAAAAAAATAAAGTTAATGTCTTTACAACGGCCTAGTGCTCTTACATATAGTGAAGTCTCTGAAAACATATTGAAACAAGATAGCGTTTGTAAAAGTTTATATATTATTTGCATTTATAGAGATTGCATTTAGAAAGAAGCTTTACTATAAATTAGTATCTATTATTTTTGAATTCAATATAGTGACTGATAATATAGTATTTTGAGAAATTAATTTTTTATAAATTTGTTTAGTATATTATGTGAGATTTAATTATTTATTAATAAATTATTATAATATGATATGATGCAAAAAGATTGGTACATCAGACAAATATTAATAAATTATTTTTTCAAAATAAATTTTTAATTCTGTTTTATTTAATTAAGTTATTAGGCATTGGGATTTATTTAAATATAAAAATTTTTATTATATATCTTTTATAAAAAAATTTTACTAATATAAACTTTTTTGA